AGTGTGTGCTGTGATTGGTTAGCTGGGCCAGTGTGTGTTGTGATTACCCTGGTTCCAACTTCCCTAAGCACTTCCCCCCGGGGGAATCCCCGCCGCCATTTTGAAGTGCATTCCACTTCCTGAAGTGGACGAGGGAAGTTTATATGGACAGACCCTCGACCCCTCGATTTTGACCGAGGGAGCGAGTCTGCTTCATATGCACACTTCAGGCCACTCCATAGACCACAATGCAGCACGTTAACTCTATAATATATAAATTATTTTTTAAAACTTTTACATTTATAACAGCCCAAACATACCTATATACATATAGAATGGTGCACCAAACAAATTAATAAGGGACAAAATGTAAACAATAAACCAACCCCATAGCTGATTCTAAGTGATCAAGGGCTTAGGACGTTCCAGTTCAGCCCATTCCAAGGGTTCCGCCAGTAGTGGGCACTCATGCAACGTAATCAATGACGTACATCTGAGTAAACGAGACGGAGGGAAGTTTGCGTGTGAAGGGCATAAAAAAATAGACTGGAATGCAGCCCTGGTCGGGAAATGTCACGCCCCTTACCATAGCCACTTGCGAGCGTCAGTGTAAATATTGCGTCAAAATCAAATCAATTTGAGCGCGATTTAAACCCGGATGATTGTAACCACTCCAAGTTCGTCTGCCTTGTGAAAACTAGCGTGTCTCCGACATAGTGATAACACTCGTTGCCTTCTCTAGTGCAGCTCAGCCAGGTCTCGTCCCATTCGTCGATATTTGTGATTTCACAAATCCCGGAAAATATACGTTGTAGTGCAAACGAGTTGTTCGTTGTAGTTTATGAAAAGTGATTTCTGTTAAATAAAATATCTCCTTTTGAAGTGGACTTTGAGCTTTGTAACTTTGCAGATCTTTTTTTATGCTCAAACAGCAACATTACAGACTAACTAAAGTGATCAAGGGCTTAGGACGTTCCAGTTCAGCCCATTCCAAGGGTTCCGCCAGTAGTGGGCACTCATGCAACGTAATCAATGACGTACATCTGAGTAAACGAGACGGAGGGAAGTTTGCGTGTGAAGGGCATAAAAAAATAGACTGGAATGCAGCCCTGGTCGGGAAATGTCACGCCCCTTACCATAGCCACTTGCGAGCGTCAGTGTAAATATTGCGTCAAAATCAAATCAATTTGAGCGCGATTTAAACCCGGATGATTGTAACCACTCCAAGTTCGTCTGCCTTGTGAAAACTAGCGTGTCTCCGACATAGTGATAACACTCGTTGCCTTCTCTAGTGCAGCTCAGCCAGGTCTCGTCCCATTCGTCGATATTTGTGATTTCACAAATCCCGGAAAATATACGTTGTAGTGCAAACGAGTTGTTCGTTGTAGTTTATGAAAAGTGATTTCTGTTAAATAAAATATCTCCTTTTGAAGTGGACTTTGAGCTTTGTAACTTTGCATATATTTTTTATGCTCAAACAGCAATATTACAGACTAACTAAAGTTGAAAAGTGAAAAAGCATAATAGGACCCCTTTAAGAGTTGATATTTGAAATCTTTGTCAGTACCCTGCTCTACTATTAAGTAGCTGAAATAAAGTTTTTCTGAGCCTGTCTTTGCATTTCATTCAGGTGTCATATTATTCCTTCTTCCTTACAGTGGGATACAGCAGGGCAGGAGAGGTTTCGCACAATCACATCCAGTTACTACAGAGGAGCACATGGCATTATTGTAGTCTATGATGTTACAGATCAGGTGAGCTCATACAAACCTTAAGTGTCCTTATTTCACTATAAACACCTGTGAAAATACCTTGAAATAAAGGTTTTAACTTCTGCTCCATTGTATTTGTTACAGTGTTTTTTTTTATGCCCTCAGGAGTCCTTCAATAATGTTAAACAGTGGCTACAGGAGATTGACCGCTATGCCAGTGAAAATGTTAACAAGTTATTGGTTGGCAACAAGTGTGACTTAACAACAAAAAAAGTGGTGGACTACACAACGGCAAAGGTAATATTGCTATACTCCATATTACTTGATTTATTTCACTATTATTATGGTTCTGTTTCAAAACCTAATGAGCTGCCTTGCTGTCAAACTGCCTTCTAACTAAAATGAGAACTCATAACTGACCGATTTGGAATGTTATACGTGGACAACAACAAAGTGCATTGGAGACTCTTGATTTCAGTTGATATAGCGTGCTGCTACGCTAATGACTTAATGCTGTAATAAACATTAACAATACAGAATGCACACTTTAGTAGGAATTTTAATTTGATGTAACATACATTATATGTTTACATTATATGATACATTTCGGTACTGAATGAATTATATTTTTGATTGACATTTCTTTCTCTTTGTCTGACATTTTAGAGCTCATAAGGCATTCTGGTCTTGCCTTCTCATGTAATGCTGCCTGTCGTATAGAATGGCCTTTGTGTCAGGAGCAAATTTATTTTAGTATTATTTCTATATGTCATTATAGTATTTATTAATAATTCGTTTATATTTTCATTTTTCATATTACATTTTAGTAATGTTTTTATAATTCTGTTTATTTATTCAGTTTTAGTCATTTTAGTACTTCAACTTATTTGATTTCAGTTACTTGCCAAAGCAACCTCCTTTTTTCATGCAAGTTTTCATTTCAGTGAACGAAAATTATTACTATTATTTTTAATAGTTTTAGTTGTGGTTGACAACACTGCTTTAAACCTCTGCATATATAGGCAGCTCACTAGGTTTTGGAGCAAAGCCTATGTGTACATAAGATTTGCAGTTGTTCACTTTTCCAGTATTCTAACGGAAAGAACTGCTTTGTTTATCTTTAGGAATTTGCTGATTCCCTTGGCATTCCTTTCTTGGAAACTAGTGCTAAGAATGCCACTAATGTGGAGCAGGCCTTCATGACCATGGCTGCCGAGATCAAGAAGAGAATGGGCCCCGGAGCCACAGCTGGGGGTGCTGAGAAGTCTAACGTGAAGATCCAGAGCACTCCAGTGAAGCCTGCATCTGGAGGCTGCTGCTGAGGCTTCCTCGACCCCAACCCCCTCACCTCGGCCCCTGGATCTTGGCGCAAGAGCCCCCACAATAGGAGAATGAAAGGGGAATAGATCATTTGTTATGGAGCAAAGATGGAATATGAAGAAAAGAAAGAATAAAAGAGAGTGTGAAGCAGTCAACAGTTTAAGTTACCCAAGTTGTACTGTATGTAGCCGCACTACCAAAAACATTCAAAAATCTGCTGCCCCCCCCCCCCCCCCCCAGTCCCTTTCACCCCTGCCGTCTGTCAGGGGCTGCTTTTAACCAACCCCACCCCAAAAAAAAGATGGATTTAATTTTCACTCAACGATTTTAAATCCTCTGTGTGCAGGTTTCTAAGAATAATGTGTGTATTTATCTCACTGCATTTCTACTGCAGGGCTGGTCTGTGGTCAAAATTCAATGACATTTTGTTTCTTTATTCTTTCTTGATGATTATTTTACTGTTATATTTGCATGTGTAGGTTTCTGTCCCCACGGATTGTTTTGTCTGTTGAGATCAACCAGGCAGCGGTGGTTCACAGTCCTACATCTGTTTAGTAAAATATATGTACATATACACTATGTATATATATATATGTAAGATCTACATTTATATGCAAATATATTGTTCCATTAATCTAATCTCTCGATATTGGCCATTTACCTGCGGAATACATTGAAAGCAACAATTACACAATCGCATATGTGACTCAAACACTATGTTCTCTTTTTCATAATAAAGGCGAATTAATTCATTTTTTGAATGAACTTGGAAACCATTTATGTCTAGTTTATCATTTTGTGCAGTTTTAGATGGATGTTTCACTTATCCCAGATGGGGCATTTAGTATATGTAGGATTAAAGCTTGCCATTGCAGCACCCCAAAAGCAGTTAATTCATATTTTAGTATAATTTACATACTAATATAGTAATTATTAATATTTTGAATTAGCTTTTATATTTTTATTTTTCTAGTTTTGTAATTTTAGTGTAAATTTTAATCATTGTATGTGCTTTTGTCAATTGTATTAGATTTTAAATATTTCTAAGCTTTATTTTTAAATGTAAACTTAGTTTAAGTTAGCTGCCATGGCATCATTTCTAATTTTTAAGTTTTGAATCTAATTTTATATATTATTTCAGCTTTTTAAATTAACAAAAACAGATTTAGGTTTAGTTTTAGTTAATAATAATTTATTTACTTTTTAGATTAAAAAAATCTCAATGCAATTTTAGAAGATTGAGGATCTATTATTTTAATTAAGGATCAAGCCCCTATTGTATCTGCAAGTTGTATTATTATTATTTTTCCCCTATGGGAGTCTATGGCAGCCCTATGAACGGAATATAGGAAAATTATGAAAATTGGCACACTTATAGTGATGGTCATGAATAGTGATCTGACCAACTTTGGGGTCTCTAGGACCAACTCTATAGTGCCACCACCAGTTCAAAAGTACTCTTCATTATGATCACATTCAATAGCTTACATTAAGACTCTACCCATTACAGTAACGGCCATTTCGAAAAATACAATATTCAGTTTTTTTGCTACTCTTCCAAATTTTGTCCAATTCTTACAAAAATTTGCAGAGATGATCTTTGGACCGAGCTGGACAGAAATGAGTGAACAGAATGTTATGCCATACTTTTGAAAAACAAAAGTTATGATGTTGTGAACTTAATGTCAACCCAAAATTGGTTCAGAGGCTGTATCTCAGCCAAACTTTTATCAATTAAAATGAAATTTGAAAGGCTGCAACAGCACTTATGGATCATGAGATATGAAAAATGGCTACTTGGGTCTTGCCGAATCTGTCTATGTTGATTTTGCCAGGGTCAGACAAACTGCTTATCTGCCATTTAAAAAATTGTCATAAATTACAATATCTTTTAAACCATTTGATATATCTGCACAAAAATTGGTAGGGATCATTGACAGGTACGTGGAGGTACCCCAGAAGTTTGAATACAGTTCCACCTAGTGTTCCAGAGATACAAGGTTTTTTACAAAAACTTATAACTTAAAACTTATTTTTGAAAACATTGTCCAAATTTTGTTATTTTTGTATCCTTTCATTCCCTGGTTTACGCCGATTATGCCTATATGTTATGTCATTTTCCAAAAATGTGCCTGTTCACCATATTGAAGTAAATGAAAAACTGTTTTTCTTTGGACAGAGTCGCACAGAATTGACAGAATGGATTTTTTATATTTGCTTCCGTTTCCGAGAAATACCTCTCCGAAGTTGACCGTGCCTGCGTTTGTTGACTTATGCTAGTTAGCTTAGCATGTAAATTGGTTAGCATGCTAATTGGTTGCCATTCTTTCTAATGTGGCTCTTCAGCTATCAGGTTAACCATAAGCTACATTGGAATTAAGTTAGCTTAACATGCTAATCAGGTCAACATGAATGTGTGTCAACTGAATGCTGCACTCTGTTAAGCCACTGGCCCCGCACCATTCAGGATCAAGCCCCTATTGTATCTGCAAGTTGTATTATTATTATTTTTCCCCTATGGGAGTCTATGGCAGCCCTATGAACGGAATATAGGAAAATTATGAAAATTGGCACACTTATAGTGATGGTCATGAATAGTGATCTGACCAACTTTGGGGTCTCTAGGACCAACTCTATAGTGCCACCACCAGTTCAAAAGTACTCTTCATTATGATCACATTCAATAGCTTACATTAAGACTCTACCCATTACAGTAACGGCCATTTCGAAAAATACAATATTCAGTTTTTTTGCTACTCTTCCAAATTTTGTCCAATTCTTACAAAAATTTGCAGAGATGATCTTTGGACCGAGCTGGACAGAAATGAGTGAACAGAATGTTATGCCATACTTTTGAAAAACAAAAGTTATGATGTTGTGAACTTAATGTCAACCCAAAATTGGTTCAGAGGCTGTATCTCAGCCAAACTTTTATCAATTAAAATGAAATTTGAAAGGCTGCAACAGCACTTATGGATCATGAGATATGAAAAATGGCTACTTGGGTCTTGCCGAATCTGTCTATGTTGATTTTGCCAGGGTCAGACAAACTGCTTATCTGCCATTTAAAAAATTGTCATAAATTACAATATCTTTTAAACCATTTGATATATCTGCACAAAAATTGGTAGGGATCATTGACAGGTACGTGGAGGTACCCCAGAAGTTTGAATACAGTTCCACCTAGTGTTCCAGAGATACAAGGTTTTTTACAAAAACTTATAACTTAAAACTTATTTTTGAAAACATTGTCCAAATTTTGTTATTTTTGTATCCTTTCATTCCCTGGTTTACGCCGATTATGCCTATATGTTATGTCATTTTCCAAAAATGTGCCTGTTCACCATATTGAAGTAAATGAAAAACTGTTTTTCTTTGGACAGAGTCGCACAGAATTGACAGAATGGATTTTTTATATTTGCTTCCGTTTCCGAGAAATACCTCTCCGAAGTTGACCGTGCCTGCGTTTGTTGACTTATGCTAGTTAGCTTAGCATGTAAATTGGTTAGCATGCTAATTGGTTGCCATTCTTTCTAATGTGGCTCTTCAGCTATCAGGTTAACCATACGCTACATTAGCATTTAGTTAGCTTAACATGCTAATCAACATGTTAAGTCATGTTTTCATGTGTTCATTCTCACAATGAAAGCTCTCCTCGGCAGCCTTAAGGTTGAGGGTTTGAATCCAGTGTGGCACATGACATGCAGTGCTTTTATATACAGAATCTTAAGAGTGTTTTGTGCTTTTGAGATGCACATTGTAAAGCTTTTGACTGTTCAGTGTGAAGTACTTTGATGAGTTTGCTGTGATTGTTAGGCTTGCTGTACTTGCAGCAGCAGTGGTTGCTATGCTTGCTGTACCTTCGGGGCTTGGCCCCGTATCGCTGCTTGCAGCTATATTACTGTATATGATTCTGTATGCATGAATGGTAATACTTGAGTACATTGTACATACATTTTAATTTTGCATTTAATTAAGCATCCTTATCAAAACTTACACAAAAATGTAGATTTTAACCTATTAACCAAAAATACAAAACTATCAAAAAGTAGAATGTTTATTGTTAAAAATGCATTTTTTGTCATTGCAAAAACAATTGCACATCAATCTGTGATCTCTGATCTGATCTGTGAGGTTTTTAATTTGCCATCATTTTCATTCAGCTGAATCCACAAAATGCATTAAAGGAACACTCCTCTATTTTTGAAAATAGGCTCATTTTCCAACTCCCCTAGAGTTAAACAGTTGAGTTTTACCGTTTTCGAATCCATTCAGCCAATCAATTCAGCATAGATCATTGAATCTGATTAGACCGTTAGCATCTCGCTCAAAAATGACCAAAGAGTTTCTATATTTTTCCTATTTAAAACTTGACTCTTCTGTAGTTACATCGTGTACTAAGACCGACGGAAAATGAAAAGTTGCGATTTTCTAAGCCGATATGGCTAGGAACTATACTCTCATTCCGGCGTAATAATCAAGGAACTTTGCTGCCATACCATGGGTGCAGCAGGCGCAATGATATTACGCAGCGCCTGAAAATAGGCTAACTTCCGTCAACATAACCAACGTGACCACCTGCTTGCACAGGGAGCATGCTGGGGACTATTTTCATGCACTAATGAGATGCTAACGGTCTAATCAGATTCAATGATCTATGCTAAGCTACAGCTAAAAGTGCTACCGCCAGACCCGGAGATCGGCTGAATGGATTCGAAAACGGTAAAACTCAACTGTTTAACTCTAGGGGGGTTGGAAAATGAGCCTATTTTCAAAAATAGTGGAGTGTTCCTTTAATGTCCACAATTATCATTATTATTGTTGTTGTTGTTATTGCATTTTGTTCATTTGATGTTAACACACTTTTCTCCCTTTAAAGAGATTTCACACAAAATTTAAAATTCTGTCATCATTTACTCACCCTCATGTCATTCAAAGCTTTCTTTCTTTTGTGGAACACAAAGAAATATATTTTGAACTATGTTGGTAACTAATCAGCATTGGAGCCCATTGACTTTCATTGTGTGGACAAAAAAAAAAACAGACATTTCTCAAAATATTTTTTTTATGTGCAACAGAAGAATCAATGTTTTGGGAGGACATAAGTGTAAGTAAATGATGACAGAATTAAAATTTTAGCGTGAACTGATGCTTTAACACAATAAATAAAAAATATTTTTTCATTTTAAAAGTATGAATGTTCACCCAACAGATTATTCATATATTCAGTATGTTCATATATTAAT